GAAGAAGAGGAAGATGAGAAGAAGAGAAAACAAGGTGGAGATGAAGTGGAGGAAGATGAGAAAAGACAGACAAGAAAGAAGAAGAAGCAGAAGAGAAGGAGGAGAGGAGTTGGAAATGAAGAGGAGGACAGGGAAAGGAGGACAAGAAATGAAAGAAGAAGAGGCCGAAGGGAAGGAAGAGAAAAGGAGGTAGTGATGAAGAAGAAGCACACAAGGAAAAGAAAGAAAAGGCAGAAGAGAAGGAGGAGGAGAGGTGGTGGAGATGAAGAGGCATCTCGACTCTGCAGCTGAAGAGGCGGCGGTGGAGGGGCCTTCGAGAATGAAGAAGAGGAGGACAGGGAAAGGAGGACACGAAGTGAAAGAAGAAGAGGCCGAAGGGAAGAAGGAGGAGGAGAGGAGGTGGCAATGAAGAAGAAGGGGACAAGAAAAAGAAAGAAGAGGCAGAAGAGAAGGAGGAGGAGAGGAGGTGAAGGGGAAGAAGACGAGAAAAGATAAAAAGAAGCGGCAGAAGAGATGGAGGAGAAGAGGAGGTGGAGATGAAGAGGAGGAAGACAAGAAAGATGAAGAGGCAGAAGAAAAGGAGAAGCGTGGAAATGAAGAAGAGGAGGACAGGAAAAGGAGGACAAGAAATGAAAGAAGAAGAGGCCAAAGGGAAGGAGGAGGAGAGGAGGTGGAGATGATGAAGAAGCGGACACGGAAAAGAAAGAAGAGGCAGAAGAGAAGGAGTAGAAGATGAGGTGGAGGTGAAGAGGAGGAAGACGAGAAATGATGGACAAGAAAGAAGAAGAGGCAGAAGAGATGGAGGAGAAAAAGAGGTGGATATGAAGAAGAGGAAGACAAGGAAAGGAGGACATGGAAAAGAAACAAGATGAGGCAGAAGAGGAGGAAGACAAGAAACAACAGACAAGAAAGAAGAAGCAGAAGAGAAGGAGGAGAAGAGGAGATAGAGCTGAAGAAGAGGAGGACAAGGAAAGAAGGACAATGAAAAGAAACAAGATGAGGCAGAAGAGAAGGAGGAGGAGAGGAGATAGAGATGAAGAAGAGGCAGACGAGGAAAGGAGGACAAGGAAAAGAAAGAAGAAGTGGCAGAAGAGGAGGAGGAAAAAGAGGAAGGTTTCAACAAAGGATCTTGAAAAAAAATACAGTTTCCTAGAGCAAATCGATTTATCTCCCAGCCGGATTCAGAGTCGGTTGCAACACACTAGTTCTGATATATGATGAGAAATACATAGGATAGGATGGATGCCTCTAAAAGTGGGATTAGATAGATCCTGATCCCCTCTTCTCCTGGAAATCTGTGTCTAATTCAAATTATGGATCAGGAGGTTTCGTTTGTTGCTATCATTAACCACAAGGGGAAAAGGTCAGAAATGTTGCGGATCTACCACAAAATCGGCTGGGGATCTCTCGGTAGATCTGAACCCACTTTCTGACAGCTCCTGTCCCAGGTGCATCACGGTCCAGCCGCAGGAAACGACAAAAAAGGACCCGCAGGAAGCTTTGCTTGCCGAGAATCAGTCAGTGACAAATAGCACCCCTTCTCCGAAGCAGGCTTTCCCTTTCTTCCCTTTCGAAAGGTCAGCCTTGGGAGCCGGTCTTCATGAATGCCGGAAAGATGACAAAGACATACAGCCCCAGGGAGCCCAGATTAACACTTTGTATGACTCAGAGGTGACATTTTCCACACTCCAAAGTGCAAGGAAGTAGGTGTTTTTGCTTCGGAGGAGGTCATTTTGGTGGGTCAGGGATTAAGGGTGTACCCTCACTGCAGAATTAATGTAGTTGGGACACCACTTGAACTGCCATAGTTGGATGCTATGGAGTCATGGGAGTTGGAGTTTTACATAGAATCATAGAATCATAGAATCAAAGAGTTGGAAGAGACCTCATGGGCCATCCAGTCCAACCCCACTGCCAAGAAGCAGGAATATTGCATTCAAATCACCCCTGACAGATGCCATCCAGCCTCTGTTTAAAAGCTTCCAAAGAAGGAGCCTCCACCACACTCCGGGGCAGAGAGTTCCACTGCTGAACGTCTCTCACAGTCAGGAAGTTCTTCCTCATGTTCAGATGGAATCTCCTCTCCTGTAGTTTGAAGCCATTGTTCCGCGTCCTAGTCTCCAGGGCAGCAGAAAACAAGCTTGCTCCCTCCTCCCTGTGGCTTCCTCTCACATATTATACATGGCTATCATGTCTCCTCTCAGCCTTCTCTTCTTCAGGCTAAACATGCCCAGCTCCTTAAGCCGCTCCTCATAGGGCTTGTTCTCCAGACCCTTGATCATTTTAGTCGCCCTCCTCTGGACACATGCCAGCTTGTCAATATCTCTCTTGAATTGTGGTGCCCAGAATTGGACACAATATTCCAGGTGTGGTCTAACCAAAGCAGAATAGAGGGGTAGCATTACTTCCCTAGATCTAGACACTATGCTCCTATTGATGCAGGCCAAAATCCCATGGTCTTGAGCTTTCTCTGCCAAAGAGGGCTGGTGCTTTTCCAAATTGCAAACTCCGTGTCTCCATAATATGTTCATAGTGTTCTCAAATGACAGTAGAGTCTCACTTATCCAACATATCCATCGGCAGAACATTGGATATGCAACAACAACAACAACAATGATGATAATAATTTGATATCTATGGTTTTGTTTATGCCAAATCAGGCGGTAGCACAACCCCTCTCAAACTGCAGATCAACCCCTCTAGGGGTCGCAACCCCCAGGTTGAGAACCACAGCCCTATAGAAACATTTTCCCCTGGAAGTGTCCCTGACCCTCTCGAGGTCATCCAGAGCTATTCTGTGGCATACATCAGGTCCAGTTTGGAAAAAATATACAGTTCATTATTATCCACGGTTTCAGATATTTCAACTTGGAACTTATGCCTCACAGATAATCATCATCATCATCATCATCATCATCATCATCGACAACAGTTCCCAAATGTAGACTCTGCAAGGAAGGAGATGAAACAATAGATCACATCCTCAGCTGCTGCAAGAAGATCGCACAGATAGACTACAAGCAGAGGTATAACACTGTTGCTCAGATGATTCATTGGAACCTGTGTCACAAATACCATCTGCCTGCGACAAAGAAGTGGTGGGATCACAAGCCGGAAAAAGTTACAGAGAATGAAAACTCTGGGACTTCCAAATTCAGACAGACAGAGTTTTGGGGCACAATACTCCTGACCTCACAATCGTGCTAAAAAACGGAGTATGGATTGTCGATGTTGCAATCCCAGGAGACAGGAGGATTGAAGAGAAACAACTGGAAAAGATGACATAATATGTGGATTTAAAGATCGAACTGCAAAGACTCTGGCACAAACCAGTAAAGGTGGTCCCAGTGGTGATCAGCACACTGGGGGCAGTGTCTAAAGACCTTGGCCTGCACTTAAACACAACCATCTGCCAGTTGCAGAAGGCCACCTTACTGGGATCTGCACACACTATTTGCTGATACATCACACAGTCCTAGACACTTGGAAGTGTCCAACGTGTGATCCAATACAACAGTGTCTGCTGTGGACTCATCTTGTGGTGTTTCTAATAATCATCATCATCATCATCATCATCATCTTTATTTATACCCTGCCACCATCTCCCCCAACGGGGACTCGGGGCGGCTTACATGAGGCCAAGCAAAAACAACAAATTACAATAAAATAAAAACCAACGACACAAATGACAACACAGTGAAATACATAAAACATATGAATACAATAAGCAATATAAAAGTACAACATCCACAATCACAATGACAATGAGCATGTGCAAGATAAAATGCTAAAACTCAGAGTGAGATAAAAGAGGAGCAGATTATCTGTAAGGGAGAACTCATAAAGAAACGGGGTTGTAAAAAACAGGCCTTCATACAAGCGGGGAAGTGTACTCCAGGAACAAAAATGTTGAGGGGAGCAATAGCGTATGGTTGTGTGGCTACTCTCCGAACGGAAAAGCCAGGTATTGAGATCCTTCTTGAAGGTTTCTAAGGTGGGGGCTTTCCTAATCTCTCCGGGCAATGAGTTCCATAGTCGGGGGGCCACAGGGGAGAAGGCTCTCTCCCTTGTGCCCACAAGACGAATCTGTGAAACTGGCAGGGGCAAAAGGAGGGCCTCCCCCAAAGATCGAAGAGCTCGGGCTGGTTCATAGAGAGAATGTTGGACAATAAGGAGGGATTAAGGAAAAGCCTATTAAACACCAAATTACGTTATGATTTTATGAATTAAGCACCAAAACACCATGTTTTACAACAAATCAACAAAAAAGTTCAATACATGGAACGTTATGTATTTACAAATTTAGCACCAAAATGTATTGTTGAAGGCTTTCATGGCCAGAATCACCGGGTTGTTGTAGGTTTTTTCGGGCTATATGGCCATGGTTTAGAGGCATTCTCTCCTGACGTTTTGCCTGCTTCTATGGCAAGCATCCTCAGAGGTAGTGAGGTCCTCGATACCTCTGAGGATGCTTGCCATAGATGCAGGCAAAACGTCAGGAGAGAATGCCTCTAGACCATGGCCATATAGCCCGAAAAAACCTACAACAACCTTAGCACCAAAACATCGTATTGAAACAGCACTGGATCCGAGCAGAAAGCAGACTGCGTTGGACAATACAAAACGTTGGATGAGCGAAGGTTGGATAACTGAGACTGTACTGTACATTAATTCTACAGTGCCGATGCATCCTATGACTCTGAGACTAAGATTCAAAGCCCTGCTCAACCATGGAAACCCAGTGAGTGATCTTGAACAAGACACACTCTCTCAGCCTCAGAGAAAATCAGAGGCAGGCCTCCTCCAAACAAGTTTTGCCAAGAAACCAAAGACGTATTGAAATTCGACTGGAGAATTGTGCCTGTCACTGATAAAAAAAATCATTGGGGTATGTCTCCATATTTCGACAACTAGATGAAATAACTCACTGGGTTTTGCCAACCTCTCCCTCAAGCTCCAAACTCAGACGCAAAGCGAAGAGAAGTAAAACTCCAGCTCACCTTAATCCTGAGCAGTTTCTTCATACTACCTCCTCGGCTTGTGACGCTACTGACCGCAGCGCCTTCCTTTCCGCTCTGCTCCAAATCCTGACCAGGATCAAACGCGGCTTAATCTAAGCGCTTCAGCAGCCTCGCCGCTAAGTGCAAAAGGAGGCTAAAATACCACTGACCCCTTTTAAGTCCAGGAAACAGAGGCCAGATGGGGAGCGCATCCTCCTACTTTGGGGAAAGACGCCAAACCTGGACTATCACAGGTCAGAAAGCAAGAGAGCGGAATTGCAACGCTTCGCAAGATGCTCTTTTCCCTGGTACGGCATAGTCTTCAGTCGGATGAAGTATTTCCAAAAGCCTCCAATTCAAATGCACTGAGAATGATCCAAACACATCTGCTCACTGGCAAAGGCATGGGATTTCCTGGGACTTGGAGTTTATTTTATTTCTGGTACTTCTGGCGAGTTTCTCAACGGAGCTATTTCCACAGCAATTCCAAGCGGAACACGCTCAGAGACAGAAGGAAGTCCCCCTGGCTCCAGCAAAACGCGTTCCCCAATGATGGTGCATGGATTTGCAGCAGGAAAAAGGTCAGTTTGGCTGCACTCGGCTTGCAAAAACAGATGTGATGCAAACAGGGGATGCACAACCCACATACAGCCTAAGTATGAGAAAACTGCAGCGTGTTTAGATTCCGCCCTACTTTTAGTCTTTTTCTCTCTCGGTCTTCCCTGCATTTCCCTTCTGGCCACTGAGACCTGTTTCATTGTGTCACATCACAATACAGCATAGGGATTTCTCCTTATGAATAGTAATACTGAAATATTGGTTGCATTCATGCAATAGGGTCGGCCAATGGGTCCCGTAACATTAGGAGAGCCAATGGCATTTCCCAACAATATGTTCTATGTATTGTCGAAGGCTTTCATGGCTGGAATCACTAGGTTCTTGTGGGTTTTTTCGGGCTATAAGGCCATGTTCTAGAGGCATTTCTCCTGACGTTTCGCCTGCATCTATGGCAAGCATCCTCAGAGGTAGTGAGATCTGCTGGAACTAGGAAAGCCATGTTCTAGAGGGATTTCTCCTGACGTTTCGCCTGCATCTATGGCAAGCATCCTCAGAGGTAGTGAGATCTGCGAATATACCTCTCACCTCCTTCTCCTTCACCGATTCACCTCCTTCGGTGAATCGGCGAAGGAGAAGGAGGTGAGAGGTATATTCGCAGACCTCACTACCTCTGAGGATGCTTGCCATAGATGCAGGCGAAACGTCAGGAGAAATGCCTCTAGAACATGGCCTTATAGCCCGAAAAAACCCACAAGAACCTAATATGTTCTATGTCAACTGGGGACAACCGAAATCATGCAAAGCCTCTGCTTCCATTATGCTGAGATCCCATTTAATCTGGTCCCTGATTCACTTAGGAGAATACCAGCGTATCTCCCTATGCAAACCCAAATGTAATTCAGTTTGTTCTTTGTTTCTTAAAAAAGACCAGTATATCATAACAGGAACCCTATTCATGCACACTATGAAAATGGTTTTGAACTTTCTCACTTGCCTCCTTCAACTAACTGCCGTTGCACTTTCTCTTTCTTTGTCTACACTGTAATCCTCTTATCCACAGATTTGATATCTACAGTTTTGTTTATGCCAAAGAAGGAGGTGGCGCAACCCCTCTCAAACTGCAGATCGACCCCTCTAGGGGTTGCAACCCTCAAGTTGAGAACTGCAGTCTCTGACCCTCCCGAGGTCATCCAGTGCTATTCTGTGGCAAACATCAGGTCCATGTTTGGTAAAAATATACAGTTCATTATTATCCACGGTTTCAGATATTTCAACTTGAAACTTATCCCTTGCAGATACTACTACTACTACTACTACTAATAATAATAATAATAATAATAATAATCTTTATTTATATCCCGCCGCCATCTCCCCAAAGGGGACTCGGGGAGCTTACTGAGGCCAAGCCCAGTAGTGCAAATTACAATACAATAACATTAAAAACATAGAACAACATTGCAATAAAATAAATTGAGCATGAAATGCAAACAGTACAAAGTAATGCAATAAAAGATCAGACACAATCACAATGAGTGGGCCACATATGCAAGATATAATGATAAAACCTCAGGATGAGATAGAAATCTATATAAATAAAAATATAATATTCGTTTGTGGGATTAGCAGAACTCAAAAACTAGTGGGCCAATTGACACCAAAGTTGGACACAATACACCTAACAACTCAAAGTATGTCCTTCACTCAAAAAAATTGATTTTGTCATTTGGGAGTGGTAGTTGCTGGGATTTATAGTTTACCTACAATCAAAAAGCATTCTGAACTCCACCAATGATGGAATTGAATCAAACATGGCACACAGGACTCCCATGACTACCAGAAAACACTAGAAGGGTTTGATGGGCATTGACCTTGAGTTTGGGAGTTGTAATTCACCTACATCCAGAGAGCACTGTGGACTCAAACAATGATGGATCTGGACCAAACTTGGCACGAATATTCTATATGCCCAAATATGAACACAGATGGAGTTTGGGGGAAATAGACCTTGACATTTGGGATTTGTAGTTACTGGGATTTATAGTTCACCTACAATCAAAGAGCTTTCTGAATCCCACAAATGACAGAATTGGGGCAAATTTCCCACACAGAACCCCCATGACCAACAGGAAATACTTAAGGCCATCCAGTCCAACTCTCTTCACCAGGGCAAGAAAAAGTAGTCAGAGCCCTCCTGACAAAGAGCCATCCAGCCATAGATATAGATAGATTTATATGATTCACACACACACAGGTATAGTATCATAGATTTGAAAGGAACCCCTAAAGAAGGACAATGATATGTTGCATATTCCCGAGTAGGGAAACCAGACACTCTCCACATCGACACTGACAAAGAAACAACAACAAAAAAAACTGTTCACTCACAAACATAAAGAAATTACATATATTAGAAATCAATTACTTTATTTTCCAGATCACCAGACTGGGCCACAGCAACACCTGGCAGGGGATGGCTAGTGTTCAATAAAATAGATCTATCTTCTTGTTTTTCCATCAAAAAATGAGGTAATATCTTTTAATATTTTGTTTATTGTCCTTTCTTTTTCATATTCCTCAAATTTGGACCAGTCTGTGTATCTGATCGGGTTTCCTAATTATTTTCTTTAATAAAAAAAGTTAATTTGCCCATGTCTCTGATTTCTCTTACATATATTTATCTACATATATATGTATATAAACATACATATATACTAGCTGTCCCCTGCCACACGTTGCTGTGGCCAACCTTCCCTCCCTCTTTCTCTCCTTCTTTCCCTCCTTCCCTTTTCTTCTTTCCTTTCTTCTCTATCTCTTTCCTTCTTCCCTTTTTCTTTTCCTTCCCTTTTTTTCTTCCTTCTCTGCCTCTTTCCTTCCTTCCTTCCTTTGCTTTTTGCTTCCATCCTTCCTTTTGTCTTTACTTCCCTCCCTCTTTCTCTTTCTTTCTCTTCTTCCTTTGCTCCCTCTTTCCTTCTTTTCCTTTTTTTCTTTTCCTTCTCTCCTTCCTTCTTTCTCTACCCATTTCTTTCCATCCCTCTTTCTTTTTTCTTTCTCTCCTTTCTTCCTTTCTCTTTCTTTCCTTCCTTCCTTCGCTCTTTGCTTCCATGCTTCTTCTCTTTCCTTCTCCTCCCCCCCTTCTTTCCCCTCCCTCTCTCCCCTTTTTTCTGTATGTCATTTATCTTTTTGTCATTTATCTTTTGGGGGGTTTTAAGTCCTTTCCACTGTTTTTTTTTTGGTGTGTGTGGGGGGGGGTTATGAGTGATGGACACTCATTGGTCTGTTAGCGAGTGTTGTGTCCAAATTTCATGTCATTTCGTCCAGTGGTTTTTGAGTTATGTTAATCCCACAAACAAACATATTTATTTATATTTATATTTATACTAGCTGTACCCGCCACGCGTTGCTGTGGGCAACCTTCCTTTTTCTCTCCTTCCTACCCTCTTTCCTTCCTTTCCTCTTTTTCTTTCCCTATTTCTCTTCTTTCTTCCATCTCTACCTGTTTCTTTCCTCCCTTTCTTTGCTCTTTGTTACATCCTTCCTTCCTTCCTTCCTTCCTTCCTTCCTTCCTTCCTTCCCTCCCTCCCTCCCTATCTTTTGTTCCTTCTCTCCTTCCTTCCCTCTCTTCTTCCTTTCACTTTTTATTTCCTTCTCTCCTTCCTTGCTTTTATACCTTTCTTTCTTTCTTTCCTCCCTTCCTTCTTTTTCTCCCTCCTTCTCTCCTTCCTTCCTTCCCCCTTTCCCTCCTTCATTCCTTCCCTATTTCCTTCCTTCTCTCGTTACTTCTTGACTGTCCCTTCCATGTAATATTGTATTTATATCTTACATAGAAAGAAGGAAAGGAAGAAGGAAGGAAGGAGGGACAGGAAGGAAGGAAAAAGAAAGGGAGGGAAGGAAGGAGGGAAAGAAGGGACGGAAGGAAAAGAAAGAAGAATGAAGGAAGAAGGAGGGAGGGAAAGGAAGGAGGGAGGGAAGGAAATGAAGGGGAAGGAAATAAAGAAAGGGAAAGAAAGAGGAAAGGAAGGGAAGGAGGGAGGAAAGGAAGGAGGACAGGAAGGAAGGGAAGGAGGGAAAGAAGGAAAGGAAGGAGAAGGAAGGAAGAAAAGGAAGGAAAGTGAGGAAGGAAGGAAAGGGAGGGACATGCAGTTTAGAAGTCATTTCTGCTTTTTGTTTTTGTTGGGTTTTTTTTTTTAGTGAAGGACATACATTGGGTTGTTAGGTGCCTCGTGTCCAAATTTGGTGTCAATTAATCCAGTGGTTTTTGAGTTCTGTTAATCCCACAAACGAACATTACATTTTTATTTATATAGATTTATATTTATATTTATATTTAGATATAGATATAGATAGATATAGATAGATATACATGTAGATATAAATAATGAACTACACAAAGAGCACGACTACCAATCTCATTCTGACGTGGCAAACATTGATTGCCATTTCTGGAAAAACTTGCCCAGATTGGTTCCTCAAATCTCAGTGCTCCGTCTGCATGTTAACTCTATCATCTCAGGCTTTAATTCTGTACTGATAACCCAAATGAAAAGAGTGGGTATTATTTCTGTAGGTCTGCGCCCTACACCACTGGAGAAATTACACTGCTTAGCAGGTATTGCACCACCTGACATCCGCCGGAAGTAGCAGCCAATAGTGAAAGGACCAAGGCAGAGACATCTCCAGCTCATCCCCTGTGTGGGTATCAGCCAGCACGTCAACGACTTAAATCAAGAAATAGTTTTCTAAGATCTACAGAGACACTCGCTGGAACACCTCAGCAAGCGAGAGTCCAAAAGTGGCAGGCTCAAACCCAGAATCTCAACCAATGGCTGATACCAAATGAGAGACTCCCCCCTGGGCACACAGAAGACTGGGCGACTTGGAAGGCGCTGAACAGACTGCGCTCGGGCACCACGAGATGCAGAGCCAACCTCAAGAAATGGGGCCACAAAGTGGAATCCACGACATGCGAGTGTGGAGAAGAGCAAACCACTGACCACCTGCTGCAATGCACCCTGAGCCCTGCCACATGCACAATGGAGGATCTTCTTGCAGCAACACCAGAGGCACTCCAAGTGGCCAGATACTGGTCAA